ATTTTTATGAATGACTTAATATATAGTTATTAATTGAAGTAAAAAATGTAGATATATTACTAGTATATAAAACAATGACTTATTTAATGTTATTATAGGTTCAGTTAGATTTTAATTAAATTATCCTAATGTAATAAAAATAACGAAATTTCGTGTTTATTTCAGAATCACTTCAAGTTTACGGTAAAGAAGGAGTAAAAGATTAAATAATATATTGGCTCTGAAAGACTTTCAATGTATAAGAATTTATTTATAGATATATATCTCTGTATTATGTCAGTCTAGATGACAAACAAAAAATAAATCTAATTTATATCCAGCTTATCTTATGTTTCGTTTGATTATAACTATTTTCATTGGGTTATTGTTATTATTAGAGAATATTAAGCCTCTCACACAATATATTGTATGTAATAAATCATTTTATTTACTTATTTTTTCATTCATTCAATTGGATTTGTTTTACTCAACTCCGACTACATCTCGAAGACAATTCATAGGTAACCAATACATTAGGATAAATGTTAGAGACTTTTATTAATTTAAGTAAAAGCATTGTCAATTGGGTTTAATTTTTTATATTTTCTTTTTGTATCACAATATTCTAGTCATAATTAAACATTTCGTATATCAGTGTACTGTATTATCTTACAGCATAATGATCTATTTCAGTGTTAATAGATAAGCTAATAATTAATATTTTAAATTTTGAACTTCCTGTATATTGGATCTGATTGACAACACCTGGCTATCATTGTTTTTGATCTGTATGCTCAGATTAATTGTAAAGTGTTTACTATCTATCACTACTTCCACTTAATAAACAGTTTGTTAGCCACTTATATGAACACTATTTAGTTCATAACATGTTGAGATCAGATTCACTAATAGATTTGCGTCAGAATTAATTACTATCACAACTCACTAGACTATCTGAAAAACTATTTTTTATTTTTTGTATTCTTAGCCTATAATCAAAAGATTGAATTTCTATAAGCAGTACAACTCGCGTGGATTCACGAAAACTAAACACTAAACTAAGAATTATTTGTGTAAAGAATAAAATATAAATGTCTTTTCGGTGTTCCCATGAAATTCAAGTTAAGTTTGAAATTGAATTTGATATTTTTGATAGACAGACATATCAGATATATTTCTGTAAACTCTTTTGTAAATCTATTTCTCTGTAAAGCATTGTGAAATAAATATACTAACCAAGTTCACTTGTACTGCTAAACAAGTATATTTATAGACTCACATTATAATAATTTTGAATGAAATTACAAATTCATAGAATTCTTGAAATTTTAAAGTTTTACAAATTGAATGAAATAAATTTGTTTTTTAAAAATTCAAAAATTGTTTTACTGAATGTAATCATTTTATTCACTATATTAATATAAGTGCTATTTGGGCCCAATACTAATCATTAATTTAATATAATCTAAACATTAGAATTAATTAAATTAAGCAATAAAAATAATTACATGTTATGAAAAATTTATAAGCTATAATTTAAAAATAATATTATTATCCAATTATTTTATTAATTAATAAGCGGACAATAATTTTAAACAAACTATTAATAGAATATATTTTGATTTTAATTTCTAAATTTATATAAAGCATATTTTAAATAATTGTGTGGGAATAGTTATTACATAAACCTTGTAGGGGTAGTCAGCACTTAACAGCACTGGGCTATAAGCACTATGTATTGACAAAAGCTTTAAAAGCAATTTATTTAATATAAACCTTCACTAAATTCCTTAACTTTTGAACTTATATTAAAGAATATTCTGAACGCAAAATTATATGTGAGAAGTGGTTATTCATGTCTTATACCAAACAACTCCCACACGTACACCGCAAACATCAATTCATAAATATGACTACCAAGCTAGTTTTAGTTGTGGTTATCTCTGCCCCTTGTCAGCCACTGGAAAGTATGTATTTGTTTCTATAATAAGGAATTATATTTGTATATTACTATTAGTATACTGTCGTAAATCGATATAAATGTGACATAAAAGTCAAACCATTTGTAAGGAAAGACATATAAATCTAAATTTATAATAAGATATTACTGTATATAATATATTGGTTACCAAAGAAACTCTTAAGAATAGGTCTTAATTACAATTTACTATTGAATGTAAATGACTTCACTATTGAATGACATTTATTTATAATAAACTTACATTATTATAAGTATTCAACTAATTGTTAATTGAATTGTTTATTGACATGTAATTAGAAGTTTCTTGGAATTTAAAAATAAAATCAAAAATAAAAATATGATTAAATAGTATTAAAAGAATTTCATAATAATTGAATAAAATATTAGGAATCGTTTGAATAAATTTAAAGAAAGGCCTCAATGTATGGGAATATGATAAATGTATTTAATTAAGAAATCAAATAATATTCGAGTCATAAGATTCTTATCATAAAAGTCTGCATCAAATAATAAAAGCATAGGAATTGTGAGAATATAATAACATTTGGAAACCTAATTAAAATTTCTCTCTAATAAAGCATTTGAATGAAACACTGAAAAACAAAACTTTTAATAAGCATTGCCTCAATACTGTTGAATTTAATTATCAAATGAAAATTAATTGCAAATCCTGGGTTAAGTTCAATGCTAAACTTGAATTAAAATGAATTTTATTATTTTTTATCCATTTATTGAATTTGGTCGGTTAAATGAAAAAATTATATATAAAACCAAATTTTATTAAGTTTTTATGTTTTTATTTTTAAAACAGGAAACATAATATAATTCAATTGAATTTCCAATAACATCTTTTTCCTTATTTATCGATTCTGTTAAATAAAATTCAATTCTTTGTAAAAATAAAAAAAATAAAAATATTGATTTGTGAACAGACTTTCACTAAATCATATAAAGGATTATTTGTACCACAAATAGTTAACTAAACACACAGTAGTTTTAATAGAGAGACCATTGAATAGTCGGTTAAAGTTTGATTGAATTAATTTCAACAAAAATAGCAAATTTGGTTTCATTTTGCGGATTTATATTTTTCTGCCAATTCATCGATTTTAGGTTTTCATTAAAACTAAGAATTTTATTCATTGAAAATGTGAGAAATAATTTATTTCACGTCTTAACGGCGACTTATAGCGTATACGCGATTCATGACAAATACCCGGTGTTTATACAAATCAATCGCTGTTTGTATTACATAAGTGTTGATCACAATGTAAGCACTTGTAATGCTCATCAGAATTACAAATTAGGGCCCAAATGTATTCACTAGTATTAGCAGTGATACTAATTTATAAGCCATATAAGCAAATCAAAGCAATGCCTTTCATAAATATTAAGTCAAACTTTAGCGAAATTCAGTAAAATTAAGTTAAGATTGGATTAAAATAAAAATAGAAACTTTTCCACACATTTCTAATCATGGTAGTTCAATCGATAAGATGTATAATAAAAATGTATGGTATACTACCGTAGTACTAGACTATACCGTAAATTATAGTCTATATCTTAAGTGTCATGTCTTATAATGCCTACACTTGACAGCATTTAAGTACAACAGAACTCATTGAATAATATATTATACATACTTTACATGTAATTATCACTTAATTGAATGTTTTGAACACACATTCCTGTATATGTTTTCTTAACAAAACACAAATTAATTTCCGTTAATTAGACGCAAGAAAAAAGCAATTTTAAAACTATTATCAGTGATTGGATTGAATGCCATTTGAAAATTAATTTGTATTCATATTACTTTGTTTTATGGCTAAACATACAGCGATATTGAGTGAACATAAAAAGTAAATTACTGTTAAGTGATACAGTTTTTGTCAAATAAAACTGACCTTTCATTTAATTCAATTATTAGGAGTCAGTGATATTAAAACACTGAACACATTGAACAGAATCTAATTTAATTTGAGGCTTACATTGCAATTATAATTGCAATCATATATTTGATATCAATTCTTATATTGAACATTTATTTACAGTATCTAAAGCTTAAATAAGTATGAAGTATAATAAAACAAATACAATTTACACATTTTATTTACATTTACATTAGAAAATATCATTTTTATCAACTTGATATTTCTAAATAAAATAATATATAACTTATTCTATAAAATAGCATATAACATAACATTATTATTAATATTCGACATTAACATTGATATATTGACAGTTTAATCATAAACCTATAAATTCTTGCATTTATGTGATTAAAATTGCATTTATAATTGTCGACATGTTAATATAACTATAACTGATTAATATAACTATAACTGATTAATATAACTGACATGTTAATCATATTGTAGAAAGTTATAAGTTTTCAAATATTCTTACATTTAATTTTATAAATGATTATAAAAATTCATTATCAACTAAATAGTAATTATAATTTTTGTAAATTGAAATATCAAATTAATGTCATAATAATTAGTTGAAAAACAGATTAATTATTGTGTAAAATGTCATCTATTGTAAGAATTTTCTGGTAATGAGTGTTAGTTTGGGTGGGAATTAAGTACAGGACTTATGATGTGATTATAGACTGATTTCTAATCTAATGAAATAATAAATGAAACAAATAATTAATAAATAGTGTAATGTATTTCGACATACAATTCACATTAAACCTATAAATCAGTCCAAAAATCGGTAAAAGATTAATTGTTTAAAGCCGACTTTTATGTTATAATTTACTGTATACTGTATACACAATAACCTATTTCAATGTCACAATTGATTACACTATTAACCTAAAATATAGCGATTCTGTTTAATAATTTTATGTTATTTTATTTTATATAAATATTATAATATGTAAGACTAATATAAAATAATTTATATACAAGAATAAGTATTATACAGAGGTAGTATAATATTATAAGTATTATACGGATTTTTACTAAATAAATTGATTGATATAATAACATGCTTATAAAATTTTATAAATTATTTAATATTTATATTATCCTTTAAAGAGAATTGCCGAACTAATATAACTTTAAGTTTAACATGAAATTATATTAATAAAATGTCTAAAATAAAATTAAACGAGCAATTTATAAGAAAAAACATTTTGTGAGCACTTAATAGAAAAGTTTTGTAATAAGTAATTGCGAGAAAGTTCTGGTTTTATGCTCTCATAATCTAATCAAATAATACACTAAAACAACATGTTTTTACGGATTTAAAGCGATTCCCAAAAAAGATAAGCAAATTAAGTAATCGCATAGATTAAGTCGAAAATGAAATGGTTATCATTACATACCTATAGTGTAATGGTTTTACGATTCCCTTGTAATGGACTAAAGCTAATGACAGCAAATGCATGGCCGATGCGATCAGTGATGAGAGTCTGAAGATCTCAATGATAAGTAGTGTGCATTGGGATCGACCCATATTCACCTCCAACACCACCGGTAGGTATGAGTTCACCACAAGCCCTGTAGCGATGAATATGGAGGCCAGGCTGTCAGTGGTCGCCAAATTGAGGGATAGCACCAGAATCGGTGACTTATTGACAGTCTTGGTGTGGCCCACGATCACCAACAGGGCATTGAGTGTGACACTGATGACACAACCGATGATCAGTATCGGCACGAAGTACTTGTAGTATGTCTTCTGGGACTCAATTCCCTCGTTGTTTACGTACGAGAAATATGTGGGAATTGTGGTGTTATCGCAAAAATCCATTTTTGAACACTTTTATTAATATACTACTTATTCGCAAGTTTTCGATATCCTATAAGCATATAAATGTAATGCAGTTTTTGAATGCATATTATTTATGGCTTTATTAATAAGAATCTAAAATAAGATAATACTTACATCTCATACAAATGCATTCCGGTTAGATATATGATATATAAATGAGCGAAACATGTCTTAAGTGAATGTTTTATACAATTAATACAGTATTACGATATTAACACTTATATTGGTGTATGATATGTGGAATGCAATGCAAATGTGAATATTTATAGGAATATGAATGAGTGAATCAATTGTTAAGCCAATGAACACAATATAAATTGAGTGCCAAATTCTTGTGTCACTTACAGAATCTCTACACAAGAATATATAGATTCACAGGAAATAAGTAAAAGAAAATCTTTTGATTACTTATTTATAAAATAATTTAAATGAAAATAACATTATTGACACAATTCCTTGTAAACACATTTGTAAATATATTCACACATTTACTGTACTAATAGTAAAACTCATAAATGAATAACATTTGAGTTAATATTTTTGAGAAACAACAGAATAGTTTCAAGAATTTTATATTTTGTATTATTTGCTGTTTTCCATCAATTCAAATGTTTGTATCAAACAGAATAGTAAACAGTTATAAACCAATTTCGACAATAAAACACTTTTCCGTAAATATATGAACACTTTTTCTATGAATATAATAAAAGTTTCAAAATTTGTTTTGTGTGTCAAACGAGAGAAGTGTTAATTTGCAGACACAGTATAACTGGTGTTAAGGACCAGTCGTATAGCAATTCTCGTATGAAATTCACGTACGAATGGGTCGTATATATGGTTATCAAACAATTCTTCGGCTCTACTCTCGACTCGTTTAGAGCACAGACAGCATACAGGACTGGGATGACAGCTAACTGTTAGCCAACTGTTCACTTCACTACCACTCCATATATTCAACAGAGAGACACACGAATGCAATGGTTAGTGATTTTGCGTCTATAATGTTAGACTCAATATACCGTTCACTTACTTATCTCTCTCTCCAAGTACTGTATTATATGTGTAATACCGGAGCAATCGCACAGTTAGTATCACTCGTTTGCAACCCTTCATGAAGTGTATCACAAATACTATACAAATACTATCGTAAAAGTCTTGTTTCTCTTTTTTGCCTGTATTTTCAGTATTTGTGTAATTGTTTTAAACGTTTTACAATTATATGAATTCATATAAATCGTGTAAATATTTATGTAATATATCCGCAGTTTATTGCACTCTAATTAATGTTGTCATAGAGTTATACAGAGTTATACACAATAATTACGAATTTTACACAATTCTAGAATTTCTATTAATAATATTTTTAATTTAACTTGAACATCATTCATGTAATTATCTTTATGTTTTCAAATGTTTAAAATTATTAATTTAATTTTTATATTCTGTATATTATTTATGCCTTATTTTATACAATACCGTATAATATATTAACTTATAAGGAAGCAATATATATATATACAGAATATATATATGAACATGAATATATATATTCTGTGTCACTCCCAACATATATTTCATATATTAAGATATTCTATATTATAATATTAATTGATATAATATATCATACTTATGAATATATTATATATAATTTGATATTTTCGTATTTAAGTTTGTTTATATGTCAAGAATTGATACCGAAATAACTCACAATTAATGAAATTATTGTCAAATATAGAAATAATAAATGGTTTATGAATATGTATTACAACAAGTTATGCCACAAACTTGTGATTTCTGTCTATTCTCCACTCTATTTATATTACGAGATATTCTTATATTTTAAGTCTATTTATACATAACTTCATAAACAATCGGAAGTTATTTTTGAGACAAATTTGTTTTATTTGCAAATATTCCGCATTTATTTCGCATCAAATGTTGACATTAATAGTCTTAATATCTAATAATTTATTTGTTTATCAAACAAATGTTTGATTAATTAGTATAATCAGCTACTATTCATTCATTTCATAAACAGTGTTTTAAAAACAATATGAATATTAATCTATAAAATAATTTATGTTTAATATCTACATCATTCACTTATATTGAAAAGTTGTTGCTATGTTTAAAGTATATAATTATATTTAAAAATATTGTATATTTAAATGATCTTAATGTAGATTTTAATCATTTATATAAAAAGTATATATTATCTGAAGTTTTTATATAAAATCACGGAAAATGTCTTTGAAATGCAGATTAAAATATATATAATTCATTGAAATTGTTCACTGAATCGGAAACTCATAGAAAGCGCTATAAAAACGACGACTCAATCAAATGATAAATACTTTTTATACAAAATTGTTGAATATTTTTATAGATCTTTTAGTTACTCTTATTTAATATTGATATTAGGGGGCAGTCAGGCAATTGTTTTCTTATGATAATTGTTTTTTATTTAAATGAAAATATATTTGAATACAAAATATATATTTTAATAAAATTTGCATAACTATAATCTAAAATGTTACGTAATTCTGAATAGTTTAATAAATTAAAACAATAATATGATAAGTATTTTTAATATACAGAAATAATACTTGGATACTATGGTATCCATGATTGTGTAATAGATATAATTTAAAATTTTATACATTAATGTTAAATAAATAAATAATTTTTTATTTTAACTTCTAAAAAGTCGCATAAAATGAAAACCTTTTTATAATTGTAGCTATGTTTATTTTTAAATAAATTAACTAGTTATCGACATTTTATAATTTGATAGCTAGTTGTGATCATTATTTTCAACGTTTGTTTTACTAGTATGTAATTAAAAATATTTTAAATTCAAAATCCAGTACTTCATATATTTTAAACACATTTTTCCAAACATTGTGTTTTTATAAATTATTAATTCTTAATTTATTATTCAAAGTAATATTTCGCAACAAATATATTTTCAAATGACTTTATATGAAATTACATCCATTATATGGAAAACATAATATGAGTTCACTTTTAGTATTGAGATCTAAAATGTCATGACATGAGTTGATAAGACTTTTAAAAAGTAACGAACCATACAAATGATCATTTGGTCTCAATTTGTATAAACTTACAAATTGTGGATATATTTAGAGATTATTTCTAGAAATAAGAGTTTTGTGCAATACTTCTGTCAGCAAACTAGATATATATCTGAATATAAAAAACTTAATATTATCTAAGAGACTTATTATAGAGAATAAAATTATTACAATTTTACAAAAATACTGTAGTGGGAGTTGCAAGAATATTCTTTATAAATGTTTTACATATCAACTAATATAATTACAAAACACATTAAAAACATTTAGAGTTAATTATAGCCATTAACGGTCTAAATGTAAAATAAGGGACAGAAGTTTGGAGTTAAGCTATAAGAAAATGGATAAAATTAAATAAATGGTCTTAAACTCCCCTATTATGCATGACATCGAGTCTGTGAATGACTATATAATATATCGAGAGATTCATAACAAAATAAATTATATTAAATTCTGTTCAATACTGTGTATAGAAAGCTATTTCCATTGGTTTGTCCATTAGTCTACCCGTCCATAAAAATTCAATATATTTAGTGCACTATTATATTATATAATGTAATAAAAGCTCTTATTTTAATTAAATGCAAAACATATGATGTGTTCATGAAATCATTTGTAAAAATAATATCGCTTTTGAGGTTAGGGTTAAATTTGTTTGGAAATTATTTTTATTATAGATTCAAGATTATAAATATAATTACTGTGCTTTGAATATGATGTTTAATAATGAACACATAATAATATTATGTTAAAAACGATTGCAAAAGTGAATGAAATTCATTGTCAATAAGTCATTGACAGACAAAATGGTTGGGAAGAAGGACCTCATATAAGAATAGTTCAAATGGTGAGCATTTGGTGTCATATGAACTGCAATTAAGTCATACAAACAATCGATAAATTATGGTTTGCAGACAAAACGTGTGTTCAGTAGTCAGTCATTCCTCGCAATCATACAAATAGTTTTGCAAATAATCTCTTTTCAATGATTTCTTTGTTTAGGAATTCATAAGAGTATTAGTTGTGAACATATTATACATAATAGACATAAACTCGCTGTGAAAGTGACGGCAAACACTGATTATGGAGAATATTCTGTGACAAAAACATCTCTAATAATGCCATAAACTTATATTATATACAATTCGTGCGATTTATGCATTCATTCACATCAGATAACTATGCAACTAATGAACTTAATAAACTTATAACTAAATAAATAAATAGTATTTAAAACACAATTTAGTTTTAACATTTGTCTGTATAATTATTAAAATAACAATGTTTATAGTTTTAGTCATATTCTGGTTAAAAAACTAATTACCAAGATGTTTGTGTATTATAAATTAAAATAAAATTCTATTATAATTTGTATTTCAATGCAAACTGTGTTTGGCTTCAGAATTGGTTTAAATGATATGGAAATGCAATAAAAGTTTCAAACTTTGATTGACTCAATTGAGAGCGTATTATATGAATGAATGGGTAATGAAAACATGAAAACAAAGTTTGAGACAATCATTGACTCATTGAGTGATTGCTTTGAATTGAATTACAATTGATTTGACAATTGATTGCATGATTGAAGACAATCATATTACTTTGTTTTATGGCTAAACATACAGCGATATTGAGTGAACATAAAAAGTAAATTACTGTTAAGTGATACAGTTTTTGTCAAATAAAACTGACCTTTCATTTAATTCAATTATTAGGAGTCTGTGATATTAAAACACTGAACACATTGAACAGAATCTAATTTCATTTGAGGCTTACATTGCAATTATAATGGCAATCATATATTTTATATCAATTCTTATATTAAACATTTATTTACAGTATCTAAAGCTTAAATAAGTATGAAGTATAATAAAACAAATACAA